TAAGATTTAAATAGAGAAGCTGGGTGTGGTTCCCACTAAGAGGTACTGGACAAAAGACACTGCTGATAGTCACTTTGAAGCCCGCTGGGGCCGCCTTTATGTAGTGTGCACGTTTCCCTCCGTTTATGTGCCACTGTGTAGCCCCTCCATCCATGGTGTGGCTAGACTCCGTCCTGCTCCCAAGCATGTTTGTTAAATAATTAAATGATAGTATCCCTGGGGCCTTGTGCTCCTTACAAGTGCTTTTTCTTTCTTCTTCTGGATGAGCATGTTGTGCTGACTTGTATTGCTGAGGATTTGATAAAATGTCATCCTTTTGGCCAGTGTAAAGCATCCGAACTTTAACGTGACTAAGATATGGTACGGAATTTTGCAGCCATCCAAATCTATAGTGGCAAGATCAAATGCCTCTTCTCCGTGGTAACTGCTCCCGTGCATACACACAAACCAAAAACAGGGTTTCAGCAATGGCACGTAATTCTTAAACTGTAAAATACGTGAGGCTTTGAGGTGTTCCTCTGAACCGATGCCGTCAGTGCTAGGGTCCAGAATGAATCACTTGTAAGTTTGGGTGTGAATAAAGAGTGTTGCATCTTTGTGTTATCCTCTTAGAGAATCACCTTCCAAGGCGTACAATACTGACTTTTGATTTCAAGATTTTGGGGACAGCAAGACTGACTTTGGTATGTGGCGCAGTAAGTGCGAGTGGAATGCCGTTGCGCTGGTCAGCCTGGTGCACTTTAGCCTCCTCACAGGAGTTGGGCAGGAGATGGCACGACTGCCAAAAATCCTTAACTTCCAAGTACAGTGGATATATTCCCTGACAGTGCTTTGAAATGCTTTTAAGCTGGATTCTTTGAATGATGTTCCAGTATATTCCTGGCAACTTTTTCATTCTAAACTGATGATCATTAAAGCCTGAAGCAATCGTGTCCTCAAAGCTAACCAAAATAATCTCAATCTCCTTTGTTGGCAATAATGCAACAAATTTACTGACACTCATGACTCGGGAGTGGCTTCTTTTTGCTTGGTCCTCTTTTCACTGCTATGCTAGCTGCAGCAGTACCGTATAGGCATAAACCAATGCAACACAGTATTGAAATAGAAATAACATAGTTCTGAGGTTTTGTTTGTTTTTTCTCCTTTTTCTTTTTTTCTGTTAGGTTCTCATATTCTACCACTCCCCTTTGTATCAGGAATACTCCTTCCTGTGGCCAGGGAATAAAATGCCGGCACCGTGGGCTAATACAACCAATGTGCACAAACTGTTACAGTTCCTGGAGACCACTCTTGAGGAACGAAGTCGTTATGGGACTTTTCATGTTTCTCAAGCAATTCTCACGCCTCGAGTGAAAACTATTGCACGGCATCTAATTCGTGGTCTGAAGAACACACTTGTTCATAGGTAAGGACTTGTCTTGGTTTCTCAGTTCTTTACTTAACCACGTTTCATGTTGAAAGAGGCACAGAGTAAGCAAGAAACTGAAATATTAACTTAGAAGTAAGACTTGATGAAAGCACACAGTTTTGCTTTATTACTGTTGCTCATGAGATGTATTTGCAGTCATTAAAAATAAAAAATTATTGAAAATAATAAAGTAACAGGGTAAATATGTAAGTGTAAGTGTGTTTGCTCATAAGTGGAGCTCTTTCTGAATGTGATGTGATTTCACAAAGCATGGGCTGGACCTGTTGTTTCAAAGCAGTAATTCATTCCAAATTGATTGAATTTGAATTTAGGAGGGAAAAGCCTGTGCCACAAAGGAAAAGTGCGTATTTGTGGGCTCAGTTTTGCATTTGTCTGTATAAATCTGTCTTGGTAATTTCAGTAATGGCCAAAGGTGTTTGACCTTTTTATCTTGTTTGGGTTTTTTTTACCACATATTAGATTAACAATTTGTCGGTATTTAAAAAAAAAAAACCAAAAACAAACACTGACTGTTGTACAATTTGCCTATGAGTAAGATCATTAGAAGAGAGTTTTGCTTTGAGTAGCAGAGTGGCAGCAACTTTTAATAGTGTGAACAGCATGACCAGGGTAGGATCCATGTGACTTTGTCTTACGGCATTATCACCTTGTAGCCTGTTTGCCAAAAATTGCCAGAACTTTAACAGTCCTGGTGGGATCTAGTCTCTTGGCTCACTGTTTAGTGTTACCTGTTTAGCTGTGACTAACAGTTTATCTTGCCATAATGATATTAAGTTCTAAATTACACTTGTATAGGTGGTCACAACTGGTATAATTTGATCAGCAACCAAGCTTAATAATAAGCAGTGAGGTAAACAGACATCTTCAGCAGCCAGTTCATGTTCCCTCTGGGAGAGTCATTGGTCACTTTAGAAGTAACTACAGTATTATTATTTTGAAGCCAAAGTCAATATAACTTATTTTCTTAAAAATCCTTTCTAGAAAGAGCAAGTGTCATGCTTTTGCAGTCACAAGTTGTTGATAGAAGTAAGGCCGTTCCAGGTGATGTATGTAAATCATTAGACTTTTCAATCCTCTTCCTGTTTACAGACATTATTCTAGCAAATGTAATTAAATCCAAACGATGTTTGCCACAATGCGTTCCGGTCTCTGCTCTGTCCTGCGCGTTGCTCACGCCTGTACGGTCAGCAGGACAGCGTTGGACACTAGATGGTGCTCGGGTGCTTCAGGAGCGGTGTTTGCCGTCACAAGTTGCTCAAATGTAAACATTTATGCATGCTTGGTGGGGATACTTAACAGAAAGCACGGATGTAACTTACGTCTGCGTGCTGTATATTAAATGTACTGTTGTCTCGTGATTAAAGGAAAGATGGTACTGAATTTCTATTTTTAAGCTAATAAAGGATCATCTAATTTCATGGAATGGGCGAGTGGTTTTGTTGCAGGTGACTCCTGGCACAGATCTGGGCTGTAAGCCACTGGTAGGCTGGAAGCTTTGCTCCATCCCTTTCCCTCAGCCCTGTCATTACTACTTGTTTGGAAGTAAACTGCGAAAACTTAAAATGGATGCTGCTGTTTGCTAAAGTAGATTGCTCATATACGTTTGCACATGCTAGCTGATTTGTATGTGTAAATCCGTCTTTGCAGTTCTCTGGAGATGTCTGCCTTCTCATATGGAAATTTTGCCCTGAATATGAATATTTAAGTGTTCTTGAGCTCTTGCTGAAAGAGAAATATGCAACTTTCACACTTAGCTGGTTAAAGTCTGATGTATCCCTTGCTTGGGATACTAATTATGCCTTCACTCAAATTCTCTCCTCTTGGTTCTTGACAAGATTTTTTTTTTTCTGTAACAAGAGCTGTGGGGTGGTTTTTAGGGTTTTGGGTGTTTTGTTGGTTTTTTTTTCCTTCCCCATCCTGTTAGCTAATTTGCCTACCATCTTCTTGTATAATTTTGTATGTGTATTATGGCACTAATTTAAATAACTCTAATGTATTTAGTCATTTGTCTCTAACTGTGCTGAAAACTCTGGTGTTTGCATGTTAGAGTGCAAAAAAGCTTGTGCAGACTTGTACTTGCATTCTGTCCAAGAAATGACTTCAAATTTCTCCCCACAGTAGAATATCTAACTCCATTTAACTCAGTTCCTGATGAACTTCACCTTTCTCTGGTTACAGTGATGTATGGTGGGATGTTCAAACTATGTAAAGCCAAGGGCTTGTATCTGGGTGTGGGTTCCCTGATCTTGTTGCTCTGGCTGAGTCTGGAGGCTGAAAGGAGTTTGGTAGAAATGCAGCGTGCTGCCCCCGACAACTTTCCTGCCCACCCTAAGGCAGAGGGAAACATCTTGGGCCAGATACAGCCTCATGTTGTGCTATGCTGAAGTCTGCTGTGAAATTAAGCTTTCGGTTCAACATATACTTAGGTAAAAACAAACCAGGATGGAGGAAATTGTAGTGCAGCATTAAATCCTGAAGCATTGTCTGCTCAGTGAATGTGGAGTTCGCAAATGCTATTTTGTATGCATGATAGTTTGGATTGACTGACCAATATTTCTTTGATAGCTAATGACCGCGCTATGTTAAGCACTCTTCTCATCAGCAGGTTGCATTTTGGGTGGCAGTCAGGACCTGATCACAAATGTGAGATAGTAACATAATTCGTAAACAGCATATTGTATTTGAAGTAAGTATAGTATGTATAGAGAAGAGTCTCTTTTAAAATGTTTTAATTGTCTTTATTTCAATTTCTTTAGGAACCTCCCCATGATTTTGAATTGGGTGAAAGCACAGAAGCCAGGTGTTATGGGTGTTAACATTATTACATCAGACTTCGTGGAGCTGGTTGACTTTGCTGCTACAGTTATTGCATTAAACGATCTCCTTCTAGAAGAAGATGAATCTGCGAGTAAATCCTGATTGCTGTATCCCACTAGTGCTCCTCAGTGGACCTTTTCGACCTACGCTGACTATTTTATTTATTAAGTGAAACCTATTGTAATATCTAGTTATTTAAAAAAAAAAAAATTCTAGAGAAAACATGACATACAGGCGGGTCCCTTCTCCCAGCAACGCGTGGATCCGAGTGGAACAGAAGGTGCTGTCTGAGTGCCGCTGTGTGTCTGCAGCTCCGAGTTTGACGGAGTTACGCACACATCTGCTGCAGTCCGGCGCGGTGCCTGCCTGCCAACAAGGGGCTGGCCTCCGGAGCAGATGGACCCGATTATGGTGTGCGTCTCCCTGGTGACCGGACTCCCCGTGCCCGTGTGTGCGCGTCCTGCTCGTTTCTCAGCACCCGGCCTCTAACCAAGGATTGCTGCCGATCCCTTCGCAGCAGCGTGGCCAGGCCTGCCGGGATGGTATTGTTCCTGGGCTACCTCAGGCGTAGCTGGGCTCAGCTGGAGGCTGCTGCTGTATTCATTACCCTGTTTTAGACACTACCTCTGACTTACTTGAAGAAACAATATTGCTGTTGTTCAGGGGAAGCTGTTAACACTGTTGAATATCTGAACCGTCCTTTGGGCCTGAGAGGCAAAGGCTTGGCATGTTTTGCCTCTTTGGACTCCAAGCTCTTCTTCTGGACCTCTTTATTTTACTTTAATACATTTATTGCAACCATGTGTAAGTGTGTTTCTTTTGGCATTAATTTGAAGGATATTTCAGTCTTCAAATTGTGAGGATTATAACTCACAAGTCTGAATTCCTGTTGAGACATTTAAGAAACCGCAGCTCAACCTTTCTCTTTCACTTGCTGATCACTTGTTTTTTCCATCCATCAAGTTTTCTTTAGGGAAAGTCTCTTACCCTGATGGCCTTTCTCTGGAAGGAGGTGGGCTAAATGGGAGTTGGTTTAGTATACAAAGAACCAGAGCTGACAGGGACAGCTCAAAATCCAAATATTGAATCTCTGATTTGTAATGTGACAGTGAATTCTGAAATCGGACCTAAAAGCTGTGCTTGTAGTCAGAAAGCCACAGCTATGGGGGAGAAATTTCTCCAGCCTGCACCCACTTGTGACAAAATAAGCAATAGTCACACAAGCACAAGCAGGCGTCAGTGCTGCTTCTTTCTAGTCGTACTCATTTTTGTGTCAATTGACCAAAAAATGTGACCATATGTGCTTTAGGCAATGCAGTCACATGTTGGTACTTAGGGTTTAATTGACTATCTGATTGCAGTCCTACAGTCTGATTTATCTTCTTTTTTTTTAAAAAAAAAAACACAACACAAAACACAGAAGTGACTAATTAGCAGATATTCCTCTGCTCAGTCATCTTCCTAAAGCAACTGTTGGTGCACTAATTATTCAGTGGTTATGAATTTGTGTTAATCTCTAAGTTATTTATAATAGAATAGATTGTCTTTACAGATATTTTATTCAAAAGAAGAGTGAATCTCCAGATTTATTATTTATTTTGTTATTGTATCCTGTGTCTGCCATCATAGTCTTGACAGCCCAGAAAAATCCGAAGCCTTTTTGCTTGTCACAAACTCTGAACTCAGGACAAGTTTATCTAAAGGTTTGCAAGCCTTCCATGTGAACTTTGTCCGAGTTCTGAGCAGACTGTAATCTGATTTATCTGTTTGTTGCATGGTTTTCATTAGAGTTCCTTGAATTTTTTTTTAACTGAATCCTTTTTCTAAGGGAGTTGGGGTGGTGGGGTGTCTGTCTCTCAAGCTGTCTTTCTCCTTTCCTCTTATGTTTCAATGACGGGGAGCAAGTCATGAAAATCAGTTTTTGGGAACTAAAGCTCAAACTTCTAGTTTAAAACTTCCTTTGAAAACTCCAGCAGAAGGTTTTTATTGGTTTTGATATTTGTTTTTCTTGTTGATGAAACAGTTGGAACCTGTTTTGAACATGCACTATTTTGCTTGCAAAGTTATTTAAAATACCTGAATTTTCTTTAGCTGAATTTTGTGTTAACCTACTTTTCTCATGGCCCCAACTGAAACTCCTTGATAGTGCTAAATGTATGGGTTTGGCCTCAGTGGTCTTTTAGCTGCAAGTTGTCTTTAGAGCTCAGAGTTGGAAAAACTTGGTTTGAATGCTGATGAGGCAGAAATAATACGTTTGCAAGGTTTCCTGCAGAACTGGAGGACAAGGTGAGAAGGTGAAGTATGATGTTTGCATTAGACCCTTAATGCATTTTGTACTGTATATGGCTACCTCAAGAGATTTATCGGGCTTAACCAATGTTTATGTTGTGCATGCACGGTAATGGCTAACGTTGTTAGTCCTTCTGTTGTATTTATTTGAATGGAGATGTGATAGTTGTAACTCAGGGCTTTGGTTAGATAATTTTGTGTACAAACTCAGAAGTTTTCCCAACCTATTTGCTTTTAGCTCTTGCCTCTTGAAATAGAACAAAGGCATGCTAGTTATTAAGAGTGCTAGCAGGGGGAGAAGAAATGGAAAATAGCTTTAGGATTAATGATGAAGTGAGAGGGGAAAAAACGTTTCTGTAAGGTTGGCCTGCCTGAAGAGACTCGTGTCATTTCAGAGCAGTGCTTGGTGTTACACCTCCTATGAGGAACCTGACAGCCTCACTTTTGAGTCGGGCAGTTGGCAGATACCTCCTGTGGACACTCTGGGCAAGGTTAATGCTGATGTTTAGAATCAATTTTACGATAGTTGTAAACTATCCTAAGCAATATGAACTACTTTTCTTCTGTTACACGTTATAGCCCATAACAAAGCTACCAATTGTAGTAGGCTTATCTCTGACACAGCACCACCGCATATCCAGATTCCCTCAGGCTTTGTGAAACAGAGCTCATATAGACTTGGACTTTGGGCTGCAGACTCTGTTTTCCGGCATTATGAAAATAAAAAGGTGAGCTGGGCAGGAAGGGAGGATCAAGGAAGTAGGGCAGTAGTTTGCATCCAGTGCCCACGTTGAAGGTGTGGCAGCATTTAGCCGGGTTCCAGGCAGCAGAGTGGAGCAGGTCTGGCAGGTGAGTGACAGTGGCCGCAGCTCATGCTGAGAAACTCAGCTGAGAGTGTAGCTCCTGAGCAGGCTGCAGCTGGCTAGGGCATGGAGCAACTAACAGCCTGCAAGGTCATGTACGTCTGAGCTTGAGGAAGATAAAGACTAGTAGGAATGCAGAAGAAGGCTGGGGGTTCCTTGCTGTTGGTGTAGAACTGTATCTGTTGAATGCAGTGATTGCCTTGCTTCTATCTTCCCCAAGCAGTGGAGTTCACTTTTAAACAGTCTAGGTGGAAAGAAGAATTGTTTTGATGACTTGACCATTCTGTAGGTGCTGGGAGAAGAAAAGCCAGGAAACTAGTAAGTGCTTGTGGCAAAATACTTGAATTGCATGTTCTTGGGTAATTACTTGTATGGTTTGTTATTACAGATTCAAGTTACTTACATGTTGCGTT